TGAGGGGACCCCCCCCCTCTGTGCATGAATTTCATGCACCGGGCCTCTAGTTTAAGGTATAAATTCCCTACAAATGTGGAAAGAAAGTATAAGTGAGATTGCTGGATCAGAGATATCATCTGTCTTTCAAAATCTTGAAGGTTTCCTAAAAAAAAAAAAAAAAAAAAAAAAAAGAACTATATTCTCAACATAAACCCTCAAGTAACCACAAACCCAGGACCATCACAGTTCATAACTTTCTCTCCTATGCTCTGAAAGTTGAATTAGGAATGAACTGAAAGCAACCTTTGCCAGAGACACAGGGAGCAGAGAGTTGGACACATGGGAAATTGAAAAACAAGAACGTGTAATCTTGTTTTCAGAGAATGTAGGTGGAGTGGGGGTGTGAATGGGTATGTGTGGGGACTCCATGCTGATGTTTCCTTAGTGGCTGGCTTTTTTCTCTCTTCCTTTAACAGTGCAGAAGAAGATGAAAGCAATTTATAAACTACTAGAGGCCTGATGAACGAAATTCATGCAGGGGGGCTGCGGTCCCTCAGCCCAGCCTGCACCCTCTCCAATCCGGGACCCCTTGGGGGATGTCTGACTGCCAGTAGCAATTTGGGACAGCTATCTCCTAACTGCTCGCCTGCCTGCCTGCCTGATCACCCTGAACCACCTCTGCTTTGGCCCCCCCGACTATAGCTTTGTCTGGAAGGAGGACCGAACAACCAGAAGATGTCCAGTCGACCCAGTCTAATTAGCATATTACCCTTTATTAGTATAGATTGTTAAGTTTTACTTTGTATTAGGCAATATATGTTTGTCTCAAAGAGAAGAAACATAACAGTTTGTTCTTACTCCCCCCAAAAAGCTTGTGCATGTATAAAAAGCATCCTCCTCTGGGCACTGGTTGTCCTCAAAGGTTCCCGCTTTGGGCTCCTTGGTGCCCCCTGAAGGTCAGTTGGCAGAAAGTCTCTCGCCTGCTGCTTGCCTTGCTCAATGTCTAGGAGGCAGTTTAACATGGAGCTTTAACAAGAGTAAATTTTCTATCGCAAACTCCAATAACAACAAACCCAGGAGTCTGCCAGAATTCACAGCTTCAGTTGGCAGGGTTTGAATCCTGATTTTGCAGTGTGGTGGGTGGTTTGGATCATGCAAATACCCCTTCCTCTCATAGTTTAGAAAGATGAAAAAATTAGAATACAGACTGGATAGTAGATGCCATTAAGGAATTCTTATCATTTTCTTTCTTTCTTTTTTTTTTTTAGGCTTTGGTAACACAACATATCCGGGTTTTTACAACATCCCTTCTTTTTAAAGAGATGATTGCTGAAAGATGTAGAGATGGAATGATTTAATGCTTGCTTGATATTTGCTTTAAAATCCTTAAAGGTAAAAAAGGAATAGATGAAGCATTATGAAAAATCTTGATAACTGTTAAATTTGGGCAATGGATAGATGGAGGTTCCTTTTACAGTTTTCGTGATTTTTGTGTGTGTTTGAAAACTTGTAGAATACAAAATTTCTGCTTTGTCACTTCCTACCCCATGACCTTGGATAAATTAATTTCTTTGTGTTTTGCTTTTCTTAACAGTAAAGCAGAGGTCACAGGAACCCCTCCCTGGTAGGTGTGCTGTGTGGACTGGACAAGATTCTCTGGGTTCAGTGCATGGCACCAAGCCTGCCACAGAGCAAGCGCTCAATCATTATAGATTATCATGAGCATTGGGTATGGATACGGGTCAGGAAAATACTTTTCTGTCACATACACTCTGGATGCTGGTTTATTTGAGCTTCCTCTCCGACCTCCAAGTCTGCCTTGCCGCATAGTATGAAAAATGAAAATGTACACAAGCAAATGCTAAAGCGAACACTTAATCCTAATGGGATATAGCACTAATGGTATGTGTACTTTCGGATCATAGAAGTCACTGAGTATCGGTCACTAAATGAGGAGGGTGGGGAGAAGGGAGACATTTAGGAAGGAAAACATACCACAGACAATGCTTGCTGGTTAACACACTTTATATTTAACAAAATAATTTTTTAATAATATATTCTTTACACATCAAATATTGTTGCTAGAATCCCCTTTTTACAGTTTAGTGTTTAGGTTTTCTTTTTTTTTTTCTCACTAGTTTTCAGGCACACCATTTTTCAAAGATTTTAGAAACTGAATCTTTTTTTTTTTTTAAACAGGCATCAGCTGACAAACAGGCTGTTGTTGATCCCTTATTTAAGCAGAGCTGTAGTTAAAGCCGAGAACCAAAGGTGGGGCGGGCAGGAGTGAAGGACAGAGGTGACAGTGTGTGGCAAACGGAGCCTTCAAAGTAACAACAACAACAACAACAACAACAACAGATGGGATCACTACTCTGTTATTCAGAGTTTGGGAAGAATTTCTCGATGAACTGGGTGGAAGGACTTTCGTCAGTTTTGACGGTTCATGAGAAATTGTCACAGTATAGGTTCATCTCTCCCTAAAAGGGGGAAAATCTCAGTGCTACAAACTCTTAAAGGAAAACAGCTTAGAGTGAAACTTTGAGAGGAAAAAATATCCAACAACAAAAAATAAAATAAAAATCCCTTTCTCTGGCTGGTCACAGAGGCCATGGAACAGCCTCTGTAAAGAGAGTTTCTTGATGGACATTATACTTCATTCTAGTTAATTCTAACTGCAACTATCATAGTGCCAAGACTTTGATGCAAAATTTCGGTACCCTGGCTTTCCAGTGGCACACTCTTTCTGTTTTCTGAAAAGAACAGAGTAGCTCCTTAATAATACATAGGGTCCTATGCTACATGGCTCCATTAATGATGTTTTCTGGGTTGCAAATCTTATTCCTGTCATTTATTATTTTTATTATTTCTTTCCAAGAGTGTGGATTTTTGAAGCTGGGAGCAGACAACCTCAGGGCAAAGAAAGCTCTATAATACATCTCTGTCTAGACATAAGCTGAAGTATGGGATGCCTTGACTTTGGAGTGCGGGAATAAATCATGCAGAGTCGTTCATGAATGATTCATGGCTGTCTGTGTGACGTAGCCACGGTGGCAGCTCAAAGGCACCGACCTCGCTGCGGATGGATGTTCTGCGGGAAGGCGGCCTGATGGTCTCCCTCGGATGGCGCCGCATGGCTATTTGTATCATAACACAAGCACAGTGTGCGTGAGCCGTGTCAGGTCCAACTCGTCGCTACCTTGATTTTGGAAATGACAACTCTTTCTTGATGACAGGAGGTGCTTCCAGGGAGGAGAGATGGACAATTTTAAATGAAAATCCAGTTGATGAGACTCGAGAAACACGTGTCCTGAGGGTGGGACCTATGGCATGGAAGCATGGCTCCCTTTGGAGGAGACTGACCCCGCCCCCTGGAGCTGCTGATTGTGCATGTCCCAAAGGGCTCAGAGGCTCACCCAAACCACAGGCTCAGCCTGAGCTTGCCTGGCATGACCCCTGGCAGAAACCACTCTACACTGATTATTCTAGACCACTGCTTCTCAACCAGCTGATGTTCGCCTGCTCCCCGACCTCTCAGAGACGTTGGAAATGTCTGGAGACATTCACCACTAGGGTGTTGCTGTTGGCATGTAGGGAATAGAGCTCAAGGATGCTGCTCAACATCCTATAAATGCACACAGGTTAGCTCCCCGCCCCCAGCAATGAATTGTCTGGCCCCAAATGTCAACAGCACTAGGGCTGAGGCACCTTGTTCTAGAATGCGGTACTCCATAGAAGTTAGGGCAAAGCCAGGGTGGGTGGGGGGCCGAAAGGAGAGAACAATGATAACAAAGACAGCCTTCAAGTTTCCTCAAGGACCCTGCCAGATCTGCACCAGGGTTTACAAGACAGAAACAAGCAACTACCTGTGCCATGTGGTTTCAGAATTGCTGAATTTGCACTTGACTCGAGGTGGCATCAGATACCCTGTGTATTTTATTTTTTTCTGTTACAATACTCGCAGCATTACCAGGGCAACCTTGAGACGCTTCACTTTAATTGTTCAGTATCTAATATATACATTTTAAAAAATGTTCAACAAATGGAATTGTATTGTGCAAGACTCACTCTACCCTAATCTTGAATTTAAATCAGCACTTGAGGTGGAAAGAGTGTCCTGAATCTGTGTTTTAGACAGAGGGCTGAGTGGTCATTACTCTAACAGGGCCAACACGGTCCCGAACCATAAAAACTGCCTGCGTGGACGGCTGGCTGTCAGCCAAATCTGATCTCAAAGGCCAGGCGTGTTCAGAAGGATTCAGACTCACAGTGGGGCGACTCACCCTGGTTCTGTATTTATAGTGCCAGCTGACAGTGGGTTTGGAGGGTGTTTAATTAACAAGCTGAACTCAACTTCAGCATCATGAGAAAGTTGGGTGACTAATGCTACAACTTCAAATACCTGACTCCTTTGGATCTTTAGTCACCTTCATGGTGTACGTCAACATTAGTGTTTGATTGGCAGTTTCAAGGTTTTGCAGATGGAATGTGTGGTTTGTCAGAATGAAATCGGGGGCCCCCAAACAATGCACCGGGTGCCAGGTCCCTGCCTTGCCCAGCGGTGGGTCCGTCTGTGTACCCTTCTCTTTTCTCAGCTGACAGGGCAGGAGTGATTGGTTGGATGCTTTTGGTGTTCCTGGTCGGGCAGGGTCCGCACCCCTGACATTTCTTTACCAAAGTTTGACACAGCTGTGTGGTCAAATCTGGCCCCTTAGACTCTCAGTGGGAAAAAGAGATACTACAGGAGAAAAATGCGTGTCGGATGGACAGGAGCGTAAACGGGAATTAACTCGGCAGACGGTGAGCTGGCAGGCTAGAGGTGTCACCGGAGAAGCAGCCTGTCTGAGGCCATTTGTTTTTTGTTCCAGAAATCCAGTCGTCAAGTCACCATCGAGCGTGGGTGATTACAAAAGCGGTTTCGAGAGCCGTATACTATATGTGTATTTTATATAGCAAGAGAGGAATGTCCTCGTAGTAAAACAGTCACTTTTGTCAACCCTAGAAGGTTTTGCTGGTGACCCTGTTGGAGCTGGCGGGAGTCCGTGTGTCCGTTGTGTTGCGTTGGAAACGTGTGCAGAGCAGCAGCCCCCGCGCCCTCTCCGGGGAAGTGGTCCTCGCCGGGGTGGCGCGCTACACGATCTGCTTGCCTTGGCATTCGCGTTTGGAGCACTGCGCCGGCTTCCACCAGTCCCCGTTGTGGCAGTGACAGATGTTACACTCGTCCACTTTCACTTCGATGCCAGCCGGAATGATGGTAGTCCCTGCAAAGCAGTTGGGACCTGGAACACACACAGGCGGATTAGTGGGTGGGATCTGAGAGGTGCTCTCTCTTCCCTACCCCGCCCCAGTTTAGAAGTCCAGCCCTCAAAGCCACGGACGAGCAGGTCAGACTATGCTGAACAGTTTATCATGAAGGAATTTTCCAGCCATCTCCTTTCAATAAAAACTCTCCACCGCTACCATGTTTTCTCACAGCTAGTGTTCCCTGTGTATAGCATGCATTCCAGCCCAAGCTGGTTTGGCTCAGTGAGTAGAGCGTCAGCTTGTGGACTGAAGGGCACATGCCCGGGTTGCAGGCTGCATCCCCAGCATGGGGCGCGCAGGAGGCAGCCACTCATCATTGATGTTTCTATCTCTCCCCCTCTCCCTTCCTCTCTGAAATCAATAAAAATATATTAAAAAAGTAAAGATCCAGTGCTCAAAAAATAGTGTCTGTGACTGAGTACATGCAGTTTTCTAAAGTAAGGTTCTATGAGTTAAACTCTATTTGCTTTATGGGTTGTGATGCAAAGGCTGCTCAAATGTCCTCTAAACTTGAGTGCGGGTCCAGTGAGGTCAGCATCAGAAGATGGTACCCCAGGCCTGTTCCCTGGCTTCCCCTGGTGGGTATGAATCGATGAACTCACTCAGTCCCCAGTTTCAGCACCTCCCCAAGCGCAGTTCCTGGAATCCCTAGCTTGTTTCTTGATAATAATGAATAATTCATGACCAGATGATTTATTCATGTCCCAAACAAGCTTTGTTAGAAGTTCATTTGATTTTTATAAATGGAGTTCCTTTAATCTGTCGGCTATCTTTTTTTTTTTTTAAGAATGACCCAAATGGTTGGCTTTTGAAAGTCAACCAGAATTTTATTTTACTTTTTCAGATCCAGAAACTCTTTACTGAAAATGTCACTTGCTCATCATAGATGGATGTTTCTAAAATTCACCAATCTCAGGTTTTCACTTCTTGTCTTTCATTTCTATCTTACCCTTTATTTGTTTTCTTTCTTTTTTTTTCTAATCCTCGCAATGAACAAATGCCAGTGTTCAGTGTTGGTGATATTATTTCTCAGATTCAAATGGAATAAAAATTGCTTCCCAGGGTGCAGTGGATTAGAGTGGGGTGGTGAAAATTGCTGTTTCTTTGAAATAATTTGATATAAGTCTCTGAAGTACATATTGGAATAAAGAGGGAGCACAGAGTTGTGTCTACTAGTGATTTATTAATCCAGCGTTCCTGGCCACTTGCCATAACCACTACAAAGTAGCCTGGCAACATACATCAATATCCGTGCCCTACTCTCACTCTCTTACCACTTGATAAGAATTTATGAGACTCTATTTATTATCAAATAAATAAAACAGGGGCGATTTGTAGTTCACTTCATAACTAGAATCTTGCTTTTATAAAATTGGTAACTACTAATATGTTATGGCTTCAATAACCCACTGTTTTAGAACTCCCAGACCTCAGTTGTGCATGCACTTACCGTGGCGGTGTGACTTATGCCTTTCCTTCACTCTGGGGGACAAACACCTTGGGCACATGCCTGGACATGGAGAACTAGTAAAAGGAGGAGGGATCTACTAGGTCAAGGTTGACAATTAAACAGCTAGTGAACTGTCTACTTTTACCTGGGAGGGAATTTCTTACGCTGCTGTGGGTATAAACTCCTGGCCATCTAATTGCTGATTGTTTAAGGATCACTATATCAATTTTACAAGTCTTGGGATTAAACATTGTTTGATACATTCACTTATCTTTGGGACTATGCCTCCCTGGGAAACTCCCACAAGAAATCATGGATTTGTTTTGTGACCAGAACTGAGGGAGTCTTCAGAGAACCTGGCAAGGAAGCATTTCCAGGCATCTCTGGTTCTCCCGTGGCTGTGTGGACAGACCCCTCTCAGCCCAGCTAGTTCCAGCTCACCCCTGGCCGGAGCCAAACTAGCTTCAGAAATGGCACTGGATGCTGGCCACCACCTGTTTTCTGGGATCCCCCAGAGAAGGCAGTGGTTTCTCTCTCTCCACCTCTCTACTTCTCACCAGTTCTTTTCACCGCAATTGTATACTTTTAACTTTTCCAGATGGGGAATGAAAAAAAATTCTGAACAGTGGTTTCAAAGCAAAGAAGCCCCTGAAATAAGCAGAATATTATTCAGTAAATGTTCTCCCAGTTTCTTGAGAGGATTTGGAAATTCGTCCAAAGAATCTTAGAATCTTAACCGTGTGTGTGTGTGTGTGTGTGTGTGTGTGTGTGTGTGTGTAGAGGAATGTTGCTGTCTCACAGGGGTAGGTTCATCTCAATGGCACAATAAGAGAAAAAGGCAAGTGGGACTCTTTGTAAAAAGATCTCTGACAAGTCATCATGCATGTGTTGAGTTATTTTACTAGGGTGTTCTGGTTTTTCTCTTTCTACCTATATTGGTGTCATACTATGATTAGTATGTATTCTATCAGCCTTGACACATCATTTCTGGAATTATTTAGAATTTGCTGCAATCTCAGCCCAGGAAATATTAATTTATGTTGATTGACAGAAGGCAAAGAAATATTCCTTGCACTTTGCTAGGACTGGCCAGTCAAAGGCACTGCCTGTGAATAACATGGAGACTTCTCTGTGGTCTACTTGGCGATCAGAGGTATTTCACAGAATCAAAAAATCCTGTTTGATCTCATTTTATTAGGAGCCTTCTGAAAATTTCAGGTGTAACTAAAGCAAGGCTGGAGTTTGCTGTTAATAGCTTGATCTGCTGAAAAGTAATTTAGGTAATTGTCAAACAGAATGGTTGGCACAATTTAGAAACGGTTTTGGTCTGTCCTTAATAGTAGTGACAATAAATGCTAATTTTCCTTGAGCAGGAGAGTGTTCTACATGAGCTCCTTACATAGGAAATCTATCCTTCTGTCTATTCTTTTCCTTTTATTTGGGATCTGATTCCTTCTGTCTTGGTTTATGGGAAAGAATAGATGCTTAGAAGAGTGAACTCAAGAGTAAAGCAACGTATTTTAATGCAGAAGACTTGGAGAGACTCCAGAAGGGAGCAGTGAAAATGATTAAACTGAAGGCTGGCAAATAGGACCTCTGAGGAAAGGTTAAAGGGATTGGAATTATTTAATCTAGAAAGAGAAGACAGAGGAATAACTCAATAACTCTCAGCGAATGAAGGTTTATTAGGTGAAAAATAGTGGCCAACTGTTCTTTCTTCCTTCTGATGCCGAGCATAAGAGGAAACAGAGACACATCGATTGTCAAAGAATTGTAAACACACACAAATTGCTCAGAGAACTGAGAATTGAGCATGGCAGTTGCCAACAGTGTGGGGAGATCTTCTGTCTTAGAGATCCCTAAGAATATAGGACATCTCATCTGTCAGGTAGGATTTAAATCATTAGCTTCTTGAAAACAGGAACTGAATATCTACCCTTTCTTATGGTCCAGGCCTAATACTATGTCCAGCAAATATTAAAAACTCAGTATATGTTTGTTTAACTGAATAAAATATGATGAACAAACTAGCTATATATTGGAAGCAACATTATTTTCTGAACTTATAGATCAGGCTTTACACACTCACATACACATATACACTCTATCTATCTATCTATCTATCTATCTATCATCTATTTATTAATATAGGATGTCCCAAAAATGTATACATACACTTTGAATAATTATAAAGGCAGTGTTTATTAAACTACATTTCATTTTCAAAATTGAGCCATCAGCTGTTAAAGTATATATACACTTTTGGGGCATACCCTGTATATCCGGCCTTGCCCTAGTAATATAGGTATAAAAACATTTATTAATTAATGGGAACACAGAGCGATCATCACTTGAGCACTTCATGCCAGGAGTTTGTCTTATTTAATCTTTCCAATAAACCATATAAGGTGCGCATTCTCATCCTCAGAACTCTGAGCCTCCGAGATAGAAAACGACTTGTGTGAAATCACATACCTAGTAAGTGACATCAATGGAATATGAGTTCAAATCTCCTTGACTTATAGGATACCATAGAGTGCATTGCTGAATTCTTTACCCAGTTCCTGAGTTTCTATTCAGAACTTGGAAGTCCAGTTGGTCCTAGCGTTGAAGATGCATTCTGAGGTAAGAAATTTGATGGCTAGGAAGATGTGGGTCACTTTTCTATTGAACTTTATCAGATTTTAGATTTAGATTTTTGTGTCTAGAAAACAATCTAACAATGAAAATGTAGTTCTTGTGGAGAAGATGCCTGCAGTATGGGACATGGGCTTTCCTTTGGGTAGCGGTTCCCACTGGTGCTGACAGTAGACCAACTCGGAAGCAGAATGAAAGGAAACGGTTACTCGGGAGACCTGGTTCAAGTTGTGCTTCTACAACCAATTATCTCTGTGACTTTAGACAAGCACTCTGTAACCCGAATACAAATGGAGGGCCTTATGGTTTAGTCTCAAAAAGGATTCATATTTTTGAAAAAGCAACACCATGGGAAATGCAGCTTAAATTTTTACTGGGACTTGGAACAAGAAGGGGAGAAGGGAAAAGCAGGATAGGAATTCTCATCCATGAAAAAAAATTTTCCAGGAAGCACATCAATAATTTCCCTATTATCCTGTACTTCTTGGAGCACTTATTTTCCATACCTATAAAATTAAAACTGGTTTTCAAACATTTTTTAACAATAACAATCATTCAAAATAATCTTATAAGGAAGACCAATCTATTAAATATATACACCCAGACTTCTCTGGCAAGGTAGCTAAGGGAGCCTGGAGCACTGTCTTATCAGCATTACTTTTTCCTATCTTCCCACCTCAACCTCACAAATTTAGCCTGTAAGGCATCCACACAGAATATCTAGTGATCAGAGAAAACACATTTGGAATAATCTTCTCCAGTGTCAATAACCTAAGAAACTAGGAGAAAATAGAAGAGATACTGTAATATTTGTGGTTATAAGAACTGAGCAGATTCATTCATCCACTAAAATTGTCTTTTTTTGGATAGTCCTAAAATCTCCTCATA